GGAGTTGCGGTCTCCGTCGGCTCGGTAACCGCACCGGAGCCAGTGTGAGCAAGGGGTAAGAGAAAACAATTTAATGAACATTTTTTAATGTATGACCTGCATCACTATACAGAAGACTGCCATATGATAGAAATATTTGCACTGTGCGCATACAATTATTATTATTATATTTCTAATCCCTGACTGATCATTTTTAATCTAGCATGTATTATAGTATAGATTAAATTCATCATCCAGCTGCTGCTCTGCAGAATTCTCTCCCCCAGAAGCTGAATCACGCCCTTTAACGGAAAATCACGCGGCTTTTTCAAATCAAGCGAGAATGTGTACAAAACAACAAAAATGGCGCCGGCAATGCTTGTGGGTCGTTTTCAGCGAATGTCGGCGATTTTAAAGTAATTTTAAGTGATAAATAATTTTTTTTGCGATCACTGCACTTGCCCGGCGGGCAAATGCAATAAAATTTGTACTCTCCCGACAATAAAAACTACTTGCCCCGAGAGATCGGGCAATGGTTAACATCGAGCCCTGTATCCTTATAACACTATAATGACCTTTTGGTTGAAAAGTTTCAATCACGTTTTAGAGCTCATCAGCACTGAAACAGCTCTTGTGAAAGTCACTAATGATATTCTCATGGCCTCAGATAATGGACCTGTGTCTGTACTTGTCCTGTTAGATCTCAGTGCTGCATTTCACACAGTAGTATGATCATAGTATTATTTTAGAAGGGTTTAAATCTTATCTATCTGACCGATTTCAGTTTGCTCACGTTAATGACAAATCTTCCTCATTCTCCAGAGTTACCTGTGGATACCACAAGGATCAGTGCCAGGATCAATTCTCTTTACTATATATATGCTCCCAATCGGTAGAATTATTAGACAGCATGCGATTTATTTCCACTGTGGGCTTAGCTTTTACTGTGATTAACTGTATGAGCACTGTTTCACATTTTTGACATGAAAACTGGTTCACTGCTTGTTTGATTAACTGTCATTCCTGGACAGAGCCACCCATGGCGCTAGTTTACCGTCACCCTTTACAGAAAATGTTTATGTTAATTGGAGCATTGTACCTTTGGTTCTGGCTTTTTTAATTCCCTCTTCTTCCGCTGAGATGGCTTTACTGTGCCAACCTGAAGATAAACAGATTTAGAATGAAGCAATGAAATAGAATCAGCACAGAATCAGAAATAAATCAGAACCAGGACTGAATCTGATCAGCCGTTAGTCACAGCAGATAGAGGCTTTAATGCAGGTTGGGCCTCGATGCATTCACTGACTCTAACAACTTTCCTACTGATGCAGCTCCAGGAGCCAAATATCAGACCATGTTTGGATATGAATGTGATCCAACAGGTAAGTCTTGGTTAAACTATGAAAACAATCCAAAACCTGTCAGCACTAAAGAGTTAAAGGCTTCTCAGGTTCCTCTCAAACACAGCCAAGAGATTTAGAATAATGCTGGAGGAGCTGCAGAGTCCACAGCACAGATGCAACGATCTGTCCATGGGATATGTCATGCACACCATAGAGACTATTATAGTGGAGCAGGGAGAAGACAAGCCACTTCTCGACTATTTCATTTTCTCGTTATGCCCTGCAAAACTTCTTTAACATGTTTTAGGGTTGAACATCTGATGCTTCCTGCTGTTGGAGTTAAAGAGGACAGTCCAGTCAGAACCTTACCACTTGCTCCAGTAACTGGTTCTTCAGAGGCTTCGGCAGGTCCAACTCAGACAAGCTGAACTGAGACATGAAACAACCAGCTTTAATATTCCTTTCATCGCTCGGTTCTGTGCGTTGGCACTAATGGGTTGGTCCTCACCGACTGTGGATTGATCTCCTTGCAGGTGATTGG